GATTTCTTCATTCTGCTTCTTTCTCGGCAAAATTAGACAGGAACAAATGGCGTCTTCTGAGTGTGTGTGTCCCGAAGGCCCACACACTCGCTAAGCTCGACGTCAGGCAGCAAGAGGGGAAAAAGGAAAAAAAGAGAGAGACAAACCAGTCTTTCCAGTATTTATACCTTTCGACGCACGTGCTCGCGCGTGATAACGATACAAGAATCGATGTAGCCACAATGTTCTCACACTGAGATATTTTGTAACCTAAATATTTTAATTCAGGGGCTGCAAATTTGCACTTTTCGACATTAACTTTTAGACCGGCCTCATTTAATAAAGCAAACACCTGTCTTAAATCCTGTACATGTTGGTAGAGATTATCACTAGTAATAATGATATCGTCTAAATAGATAAATGTGAACTTTCCAAGAACAGGCCTTAACACAATGTCCATACATCGCTGAAATGTTGCCGGTGCCCCTGAAAGGTTAAACGGCATACGCAAAAATGCATAAGTGCCAGATTTGGTTATAAAAGCAGTCTTAGGCACGTCCTCAGGCCTAACCCCTATTTGAAAATAACCAGTCGTTAAGTCTAAAGTCGTCATATATTTGGTGGATGTTATGTTCCTTAGAATTTCTTCAATAATAGGTAACGGATATACCGGATATTTAGTTATGGAGTTTAATTTACGGTAGTCAATTGCGAATCTCCACATTTCTGGATGTGTCAAAGGATAGTCATTATTTTTCTTACATAAAACCATCGGGCTAGCATAACTACTTGAGATGGGCGTTATGATCTTTTTACGTAGCATATCGGTGATATGCCATTCTATAATTTTTTCCTTATTCTTATCATACCGGTATGCTTTGTGGCGAACTGGCATTGAATCTCCGGTGTCAATACTATGGTTAGTAACCTGAGTAAATCCTGGAATATCACTAAATAACGAAGCAAATTCACTTACCACTTGTCGGATTCTTCGTTGCTCGTCATTAGGCAGGTGGTCAAGATTTAACATCGGCGGTTCAGCCTTTTTTGAATGCTCGGGGTTTCCTTGCCCACTGATTCGCTTTGCTTCCGTAGCCGTGTGCTTGAGTTTGCTGTAGTCTTGGCGCACCAAATTGGTTTCGCTGTTGATATTGGCGTCTTCTTTCAATGTCCGCCGTTCGTCTACTTTCAAACTGGATTGCTAGCTCAAATAAATTTTCCAGTGTAGTCGGATTCCTTAATTCAATAAAGTCTTGCACTTGGGGAAGTAACCTCGGCAAAATCACTTGAGTTATCTCAGGATCCGGACGGTTTCCATACAAGAGTTTGAAGACGTGAATTTTTCTTAAAATGAAGCTTGAGAGATTTTCGATTCTTTGCTGATATATGCTGAAGAGTTCCGTTTCCAATTTCGGCACGATTTCTGACGACAGGGAAGGCTTTTATTAAGGCAGTCTTGAAATTCTTTGTAAGTATAGGTGGGAGTTCCTGCTTGACCCAAGAGGTTTCTTCCTATACATTTCAAGCCAGTTAAGCGCTTGGCCCCTCAAAGCGCTGGTAGCTAAGGTAACTTTCTTGGAACTCATGCACGGGATATAGCATGAAATGGGTCATCCAATTTTCCAAAAAAAATTGGTTACCGGTGAGTTTCCATTAAAGCTTACTGCTGGTTTCATCGATGCTGCATGGTTCTGGACGATGTAACCAAATCCTTCCAGGGTCTTGTGGTCTAAACGTAAAAATATAAAAATAAAACTAAACTCTAATTTAACTTTAAAAAAATAAACGTGGAAGATTGGCCTTATATTAACAGGAAGTCGTATGTAGTACAGAGAACTGTGAACACTACAATACGTTTAAAGTTATCAAGAGGATTAAACCTCTGGCCTGGAAGGCAACCAGCAACTGGGTAAAACTTCTAAGGTAAGCGGCCTGCTTCGACTAACTGCTTCCTCTCTCTCGCTTGGCAAAAAGCCACAACTTAAATACTTGGCGTTCGCCAGACAAACTTTGCATAAATACGTTAACGCTTATAATTCTGGCCGGAAGTAGAAAATAAGAAGTGATAGTAAAGATTTAAAATAAAATAAACGTTAGTAAAACTTAAGATCCTTACAGCATGAACAATAATTGCGGTTTACTTGTTTTGCATTCAGTATTATAAATCTGGAGATTTATCTTTTTTACAACTAATGAAATGTTTTGAGATATTTCCCTTGTATCCTTCTAGTTTAGGAATGTTTTTCTTGAGTTAAATTTTATGAGTTCCCATAGATTCAGTATTACTTATGATTCTTATCTGATTTAAATTTCAGGTTATACTTTAGTGTGATTACAAGAAAAAAATGCTTTATTATTATACATCTATCTTTCGATTTTCACAAAATTCAATTATTTTACCTTGGAAAAAAAGCAATTTATTTTGCGCAAACGCGACCTTTCGCTAGAAACGCGTTTTTTACAAAGATGCTCTATAGGGCTTTTGTAAAGCAAAACAGGTCTGCTTAAAAGTGGTTACCCGAAATGAAGTTTGATTTGGTTTAATTGATAACTGCAAAGGGCTCGAGAGCCATTCGTCTAAAGAAAGGGGGCTTTCGTTGATGACTTTCTAAGGGAAACTGGATATAATATATATGTTACCATGAAAGACCGAAATTGGAGAATGTCGACTTTCACCGGAGAATATGAACATTCGCCAAATACGTCGGTGAAAGACCGAATATTTCTCTACATTCTTGTATATTCGGAGCCTCACCGGTGTATGTCGACAATCACAGATATGCTCTGGTGAAAGTCGAAAAGAGAGGTCATAAAGTGCCATAATAGTTTAAGTTGTTGCAATAAATAAGATTTGAATCACATAATTTAGTAAGTTTTTTATTACTGTTATTTTAGTTTCTCATTTAGAACGTACTGTATAATTAAGTAAGTTTTTAACTTCTATTATTTTCCTTTCTCATTTTGAATGTATTGTGTGTTTTAGGTTCTCATATTCTTAAGTTCTTATTTCAAGTTTCAAGTCCGTTTATTCGCGACTGAATTACGGAGAAGAAAATATAATATTATTATATGTTCAACATTCACCATTAGTACATGGTGAATGTCGACATTGACCGGTTTAAGTCAGAAATAAGAGTATTTGGAAAATATTTCGGACATACATCAAGAGACTATGTGAATGTTGACATTCACCTGTGAAAGCCGGCATTCTCCAGATTTCGGTGTTTCACCGTAACATATACACATTACACATGGAAAAAATTGCGAAAACGCCCATGCAAACAGCCCATTCTCCAGAATTCGAGCCCCGGAAAGCACTAGTAGTATTAAGCAACTTTTATCGCTCGGCCGCTGCTGGGCTGTATAGGAAATGAAAGTGAGGAACGAAAGCACGTATCTAGTTGGTTAATATTTAAATAGGTTTTCTTTCCTGAAACACGTGTATGAGGTTATCTGCCTAGTGGTAGGGAACTCAGTTTTAAGTACTGAGTTTCTGGTTTGGAAGTTAAATTCAGACCTTAATAAATTTTGAAATAAATTATCTAATAAGTTTTACTGTTTAAATATTGTATGGGTTTGAACTGTCTTCCATAAATGAAATTATATCCTGAATAATGATGAGGAGAATTTGAACACAAGTATTAGTGAGAATTTGTGTATTTAGCAATATACTCGTACTACATGAGAAGTAAATATGCACATTCAGACTTGTAAATAAAACATGATTATTGCGTTCTAGCTGAAGAATATGATAGAAAAGTTAAATATTAATTTACTAGAGCTTTGCAAATTAAATTTGTTTTTAGAGTCATACAGAAAAGTATGTCCCTTAAAGAAAAAAAAAATCAGCATTAAATCATGAGCCTGTCTTCTTAAAGAAAAGCATCAGCCTTAACGAAGTTAGGAAAGTTTCGATAGTTTGTATGAAAAGCGAAGCTGCATTAAGTACCTACTATGCAATGATACTTTTGTAACTATTTTATGCATCAGATGTTTGGAATTACTTATTAATAATTGCATTTACTACTATAATTCTCATTTGCATAAAAGCCAATATATTTTTGACGAAATTGTTTTCCTGTTTAACATAAGTTAGTTCCTTACTTTGATACCAATGAAGACTTAAATTTATGGTATTTGAAAATTTAAGTAAGTATATAAGATATTTTCTCACTCCTTCCCGCGTGCGTTCATGGTATAACTGGAAGCACTCCCGACACAAAATGGTGAGGTCTAGAGCTCAAATCCCGGCGAGAGCATTGCGAATTTCTTCCATTTCTTTGCTTCGAAAATTTTAAAGCCGTATTGACATTGCACGCGAGGAAAAACTCGAAAATACATATGCAGCGAACACTTTCGCCGGGAGTTGAGCCCATTAGCAGATCAGTGGGTGACTCCTTCACCCGCTGGGGGGGGGGGACTTGATAAAATCAGCATTTTAAAGGTAAGTAAATAGACTATTTAACTTTAGTTTCATCAACTTAGTTTTAAAATTAGAAGAGTTTTGGTTGATTTAATAGGAGCAGTTGTGAAATTTTTATCACTACTTTATTAATATTATCCTTAAAAATCATAGTTTTTATAGCAGTTTATTAAAACTGATAAGGCATAAGTTTCATATAATTATATATGTAAAAATTCTGGAGTTTGAAAGCTCTTCGCGTCAGCCTTAACGAAATTAGGGAAAATCCCCTCCTAAGAAAATAGCATTGCACGAAGTAAGTAAAAAATATTTCAATTTCTGCCCATTGATCTGGCATCACTCTATGCTATAAACATGATAAAAATCAAATTGCACTTCGACCTGCCCATTCGGGCCGACAGCTATTTATGTCAGACATTGAATGCAAATCAATAAATAAATTTGAAACATTTTCTTAATAAAAAGTGAACCGATATCAGCTTTTTAAGCTTTACACTGTGTTCTAAAGAGCTCAATGATTTTTTTTCTGTTCCCCAGATGCTTCAAAATCTGAAATCAATTTTTGTTGCAGCAGAACGTCCAAAATTCTCCTCCCCCTTCAAGCAGTATCATCTGGCTCTACAAAAATATCAATTTACTTTTGAACGGTGCTCAATAATTACTGTGGTGTTTATTATGCTTCGATTGTAAAGACTGGGTAAATCCTGAAACCTACCTTTTGAACTATAATCATCAACCAGAATAATTTCTTGGATGAGCTCCGGAGGTGATCTCCTGATTACGCTCGTCACTGTTCTCAGCAGAGTGGTCCAGTGTTCATTATGGAAAGGAATCACTAAGCTTACTTTTGGCAATGTTGATAAGTACTCCTTGACTTTGCAACTAGAAAAAAGAAAATAATTTGAAGAATTTAATGAAAATCCGTCACGTCTAGGTTTAAACATATGCATTAAGAAGTCCAGTAAAAGAAAAGATATTTTGTCAACGGTGTTTTTAAAATTTTAAAGTATGCAGAGTAGGTCTTTCAGAAAATTAAACTATTCTTGCAATAGTTAACATCAACTTTGCCTATGCATGGGTTTAACAGCAATGTGCTTTAAGTAAACACAATCATCAAATGAATGCAACTATTTTTCACTTTATTGCGTGTAAAATTAAAAGTGATAAAATCAATGAAGGATGTGAGCAATATATTCTGCATAAGGCGACAGGAAGTAATATAACGCAGGTTTTTTTTTAAAATTTTTGTTTAAGTTTTCAAAATGCATGTACAGGGTGGTTATAATTAAAATGACCCTATTCAGACCTCTGCAGAACCCGTTCTGCCTATCGGATTTTGATGAAACTTGGTATGTACGTTACATATAGACTACGGGGGAAAGATTCTGCAATAAAAAATAGTAGTTCAAATTTTGACAGACAGATGACAATTTTAAAACCTTCCTTAAGCAAATTAGTCCAACCAAATTAACCAACTTGCAGCCAGAGCCACAAAATCATTCTGCGTGCATTTCCCATCGTTAATCATGCCCTTAGAGAAGAAAGATCGAGCTTTACTGTTAAAACGATTTTATCAAAATGGCAGCAAAAGCTTAGCTGCATTGCGTGAATATCGTCGTTTAAAGGGATTGCGAAAACAGCTCATGCCGAAGAATGGTTTGAAGAAGATTTTTATGAAATTTGAAGTATTTTTTATTGCAGAAATCGTTTCCCCTTAGTCCATATAACATATATACCAAATTTCCTCAAAATTCAATAAGTAGAACAGGTTTTAGATGGGTTTGAATACGGTCACTTTAATTATTATTAATCAATACTGTAAACATAAAAGCAAAGTTAGCGTTGGGTTATGAAATTTTAAATTATTACTTGATGAAAATTTCGAAAGCCTTGCTTCAAACCTCTAAAGCGAAATCAAAATCAAAACCTCTACCTGAAGATAAATGATATTCTGCTGTGTTATTCCAATCAGTCAACACTAACTCACTTCAGCTCAATATGCTAGATGTTTTTACGCTCTGTGCAAAGCAAGTTCAGTCAGGACATAGTGAAATAATAGTGAAATATAAGTACATTAATAAGGATATGTACGCAGTACGAGAAGATGGCTACTAGTCTCTGTAATACAATGACCGTTCGCTTAGCCGGAGAACAGAAATTTAAGATGGGATATGCGTAACCCTAAATAGGTGGATCACTTTTCAATTCAAGTGAGTGACATCCTATATTTAATCTTCAATAAGAAATTATGAGAAGTTGGCTAATAGCTCCAGGGATAGCTTGTTCATAACTCCATGGGGTAGAGTTATCGTCTTAGGATGAGAGATAGCCATAGATGAGATTTCACAGCTCATCTTTCGAGTCTATGGTTGGTTTCGTCCTGGACGACGCGGAATGTTGAAGGACAAGTTTACCCTTCTAAATGTTTTATATGTTTAAAAATGGAAAGATTTGTTTCTACCGTTTATTAAGTTTATATTCTGCAGCTCTGCGAACAAAGCTGCCCCACTACATTAGCGAAATTTCTTTATCTTTCTTATGTCAGTTTCTTAGATAAGATGCCCTTTCGCTAACGCCTTAAAATAATATTGCAATAAGTTAAGCTTACCTTATTAAAATAAAATTTGGATTAGCAATGGAAACTGAATAAATAAAACTGATATTCACGAAATGAAAATTTATAAAGCCTTATGTTATTATACTTTAACCATTTAACTGTATTTTTAATCAGATGAGCAGAAAAAGGTAATTTTTTATTAGGATTTCATAAGCAGTTTAGCTTTAAAAGGTCTTAGCTTCAATATAAATGTTCTTAACTACAGAAGTTAAACATTTACAGCAATTTGTATAGGAAGACTTCTGAAAACTTGTACCACTGAAAGTTAATATTTTATTCATAGACAGGTGCTAAACACACTCTCTCGCACACACACACATATATATGAGAATAAAAACCATAGTATTTCCAAAAATAACTTTAGTAAAAACATTTATTCGAAATTTTGAATTTACAAGCATTTTCTCGCTTATTAGAAGTCTATTTTTATAGATATAATATAAAGCAAGGTGTGATAGATGGACGAAAATAGAGCTGATATGGACTGTATTTTACTCCAGTATTGTTCACAGATTGGAACTGTGTAGAATTTAAGAACATGAATGCGGGAACGTCTGTAACGGAGTAAGCAAATTCTTCTAGCGCTTATAAATGGCGTTAGGACAAATCAAGCGAGTCGCAGAAGTTAAGTCGGTAAATCAGTAAATCGGTTTAGTGAGTAATGTATTAGAAATATGCATATTATAATTGTTTTTATGTTAACCTCAATGCAAAATTCAATATTATCATTAACTGCATTTTATACGTATTTATAATGCTTAATACCGTGTTTGCATATTGTAAACCCTGTCCAATTTAATGTAGAACTTAACATTCTTCAACCAGTTAAATTTGTCAATGTAAATCAAGCAAGAATTTATTTATTTTATCTAAACTGTTATTTTATCTTAAATATCTTAACTGTCATTCTCCCTTTCCGTTTTCCAACCAGAATGCTAATTTTTAGTTCGCGAGTATTCAAATGAGGTAGAAAGAGATAGTCTGGATGAAGAAAAATGAAAACAGCTCGGAGAGCATTGCTGCTACCCTTGCATATTTAAGGTGTTTGTTGAAATATATTTAAGGTGATATATTTAAGGTGTTTGCTGCTACCCTTGCTGATATATTTAAGGTGTTTGCTGAAATATATTTAAGGCGATATATTTAAGGTGTTTGCTGATACCCTTGCTGATATATTTAAGATTGTTTGCTGAAATATATTTAAGGAGTTTGCTGCTACCCTTGCTGATAATTTAAGGTGTTTGCTGAAATATATTTAAGGTGTTTGCTGCTACCATTGGTGATATATTTAAGGTGTTTGCTGAAATTAATATATCATTTAAAGAATATTACATCATTGACATTATTACAATTACTTCGGGAAGCCTTGGAGAAGTAAAAGGTAGCCCCAACTCCAATTAACAAAATCTTTGTGTTAATAAATAATTTTGAAGAAATATTCGGTGGAGAGAACACTAGTAGTTTAATTTAAGTATTTTGAGATGTATATTCGAGGAATTTTACTTTGTGGTGGTTCTTGTTGGCATTTGGTATTTAATCCTTTTTCTGTATTTTTATTCGCATTTTAGTATTTGGCATTTAAGTAGGATTACATATTTTATAATTCGTAATGCTGCTTTATTGGATCTACTTGCCTTTAATCGTGATACCTTGATTGTATGTACTCTATTGACCAGCTTGACAGCGTTGGAGTCTCTTCTATCTGCAAATCTCAAATTCCTTTCCTTATTATAAGTTTAGGACCTTGTGCTATTTTTATTTAGTTTTGACTATTTTAGCGTCTACACTCTTATTTCGAGTCTAAGTTCGAAAGCTGACACTTTTCGATGGAGGTAGGCTCATCTAACCGGGTACTCTGGTGTATTACCACTAGCAAGAAAGAAAGAGATAGCATTTAAAGAGAAGTTTCAGATTGTTTAATCACAGCGTATTACGCCTGCTAAAGGCTACGTTACTAGTTGGAATTCTACAACAGCAGTCTGTCTTCGGTGTGCTTTATTCTTGCTAAGAAAGCTTGTCATGCCGGTAGAGGTTTGAGCCAAATTGCGCGGTATATATTTCTGTATAGTCTTTGCGCAAACTTAAGATTTAAATCCAGTTTAATTTGAACTCGTTACTTTTGGGTTACGCCATAAATGGTGGCTGCTTTTGCAAGCACAAAGAGTGCGCTATTTTAAACTATTGAGTCCTTAATAAGAAGGTCATTTACACCTTTCCTACGTTCTCTATTTTCTTACTGGACATAGAGATAGGTCGCTTAGATCCATATGAAGTCTCGATATAGTGTAGGCCTCCCAAGAAGGTAAGACTGTACGAGTAATTGTCCAATACGGGATTGTAGGCGTAAAACAATATCTAAGAAAAATTATTTAATAGCCTTATAATGCAACAAAACGTTCTTCTGAAGAGTATTTATATTACTTCATATATACAACGCCACTCCGCCTAGTTTTAATCAAATTTTTACATCGGGTTTGTGCTTTTGTACATATGATAACAACTATGGCTGAAACGTTTTCTAATGCATTTACTCACTTTATATTATTCTAGATATCCAAAATTAGCTGGAGTATCCAGGAGGAGAATTACATACATTATCTTCCCGAGTTTTGATCATAACTTTAATTGCTTGTTTCCCCTTGAGTATATTCTGGGATTTATGACTCATTCTGCAAACATTTTCCAGAGCTGTTCCATACAAAGTGAACTTAACTAAGCCCATGTGCTCGAAAGAGCACATTACGAGACTTATTTAACTTATTACATAATTATGCAACCGACCTTAAACTTTTTGCGATTCGTGGATTAGGGAAAATAAATCGGAAGTTTCGTTAAATGTTATTTCCATCTGATTCCGTTTTTGAAGTTCCCTATCCTGCTTAATTTACCCTAGCAACATAAAGTTTTCTTAAGACTACCAGAAATGTTTCGTAAGACATTTTTCGTAATATGTGTATGTCAAACAGAAAATTTTATTGTTAGCTTATTTGAATACCATACAAAATGATATTAATTTAACTTAAGTCACACCATCAAAGTACAGTTTAAACAATTTGCAAATAATAAAAATTTGACTTCTCGAAATACCTGACTATGTTTTACATGAATATTGAAAAATCTGTGATGTTTCCGTTATACGACTTCTCCATTTTCAAATGTTGGACATAAAAAAAATAAACATTAGGTTATTTGGACGTAGTAAAGAATATTCTGTTTGCCAAATGGAAGGGATAACTTTGTAGAGGAGTTTCTACGAGACGTTGGC